AACTGTAATAGTCCGAAAGGAGTACTAGTAGCCTCAACACTTGTCGACCTATCCAGAACGGTTATCCCGGTGAGAGTCGCCAATGTAACTGAGAAGGCGAGAGTTATTAAGAAAGGTGAAGTGGTTGCAGCATGTACTCCAGTAACCAGCGTTAAAAGAAAGAGTAATGTCCCAAAATCCGTGTCCTCAGAGAGCATTACATCTGAGTTATTGCAGAATGCGCAATTAAACGATGAAGAGAGGAATGCTGCCGATTGCGTCATTAAAGATCTTCAAGTTGTTTTCTCCCGCTCGTCTTCTGAGGTGGGTCGAACCGGTTTGCCACAACATAGAACATAGAATTGATACCGGCGATCATCGTCCGATCAAGCAACATCCAAGATGACTACCGATTGCTAAACAGGAAGAGGTACGAACACTTTTAAAAGATATGGAAGAAGGCAATGTCATCGAGCCTTCAGCAAGTCCATGGGGATCTCTCATCGTTCTTTCAGAAAGAAAGACGGCTCAACAAGATTTTGCGTTGACTATCGCCGATTGAATGAGGTTACGAAGAAAGACAGTTACCCTCTTCCTAGAATTGACGACATTCTAGACACTCTTTCTGGAAGCAAGTGGTTCTCAACACTTGATTTAAAGAGTGGTTATTGGCAGGTAGAAATACAGCCTGAAGACCGAGAAAAGACGGCATTTACTACAGGACAAGGGCTTTGGCAATTCAAGGTGATGCCGTTTGGACTGTGTAATGCGCCGGCAACATTCGAACGCCTTATGGAGACTGTTTTGAAAGGTCTTTCCTACGAAGCCTGTCTGATATACCTGGACGATATCATCATCGTCGGAAAGAGTTTTGAAAGAGCATCTAGAAAATCTTAGAAAGGTGCTTCAGAAACTGAAAGAAGGCCAATCTGAAGCTGAGTCCCGCTAAATGCAAATTGTTCCGAAAGGAAGTGACTTACCTGGGACATGTCATCTCTGCAGAAGGTGTGTGCACGGATCCTGAAAAGGTGTCAGCCGTTAAATCCTGGAAACGTCCCGAAAATGTCCATCAGCTGAGAAGCTTCCTAGGGCTTTGCACCTACTATAGGAGATTCGTGAAGGACTTTTCTTCCATCGCAAGACCCCTTCACAAGCTGACAGAGAGCAAGCAAAGTTCTTGTGGACAAAAGAATGCGAGGATGCATTTAACAACTTAAAGGAAGCTTTAACATCTGCTCCAATCCTGACGTATCCTCAGCTCGACAGACCATTTATTCTCGACACGGACGCGAGCAATGAAAGTGTCGGTGCTGTTTTGTCCCAAGAAATAGACGGCCAAGAACGTGTAGTAGCTTACTGGAGCAAGTGCCTGTCTAAACCGGAGAGGAATTACTGTGTCACTAGGAAAGAGTTGCTTGCCATAGTTAAAGCCGTAGAAGCATTTCCATCATTATCTATACGGCAGAAAATTCCTCCTCCGCACGGACTATGCCTCATTGGCCTGGCTTTTAAATTTCAAGAATCCTGAGGGTCAAATAGCCAGGTAGATACAGAGACTCCAAGAATATGACATCACTATCCGTCATCGTAAGGGGTCATCACACAGGAACGCCGACGCCCTGTCTAGAAGACCTTGCTCAGAAAGCTGCCGATATTGTTCCAGGGTGGAAGCGAAATACCAGCCGCTGACTCCCGTCGCAAGACAAATTACAACATCAACATTGGCTGATCGAGAACCGTGGAGTGATGATGAAGTCAGGAAAGACCAGCTGGAAGACCGCAACATTAAACCCATAATTGATTTAATGGAGTCATCAAACAGAAAACCTACCTGGCAGGATATTTCTGTCTGTAGTCCTACAAAAAAAACAATATTGGGCACTCTGGGATTCACTTCACATTCAAAACGGCGTCTTATACTTGAAATTCGAATCGGATGATGGGAAGACGTTCCGATGGCAGCTGATACTTCCAAAATCCACCATTCCTAATGTTCTTAAAGAACTACACAACAGCCCTACGGGAGGTCACTTTGGAATAATGAAGACCTTACAGAGAGTTCGTGAGCGCTGTTACTGGAATAATGCAAAGGATGACGTGCAAAAGTGGTACCGATGCCTGTGCAGGTAGAAAAGGACCAAGAAAACGCTGCCGAGGCAAACTGCAACGTTACAACGTAGGTGCGCCTTTTGAACGTATCGCCTTTGACATATTGGGACCTCTGCCACGAACTGCTGATGGAAACAAATATATACTCGTTGTCATTGATTACTTCACCAAGTGGCCTGAAGCGTACCCTTTTCCTGATCAAGAGGCTGTCACAGTAGCTGAGGTGATGATACAACACTGGATATCCAGGTTCGGAGTGCCTCTTCAGTTACATTCCGATCAGGGAAGGAATTTTACGTCGGCAGTAATCAAAGAACTCTGCAAACTACTCGGCATTGACAAAACCCAAACGACGCCATTACATCCCCAGTCGGACGGCATGGTAGAGAGGTTCAATCGAACCATCCTTAATAACCTCTCATTAGTGGTTTCCAGAAACCAACAGGACTGGGACAAGAAATTACCACTGTTTTTACTGGCTTACCGCAGTGCTGTCCACGAGACTACCGGCTATTCCCCATCACAGATGCTCTTCGATCGTGACCTTTGTCTGCCTTGTGATCTTTTGTTTGGTCGTACTCTGGGTGCTCCTTAATCGCCTGAGGAATATATTCAAGATCTCCAGGCCCGGTTTGAAGTGATGCACAACTTTGCACGAGAGCGAGTAAACTTGGCGACGGAGAAGATGAAGACCTGATATGACACAAGAGCTACGGAACATTAATTCCACGAAGGAGACAAGGTGTGGTTGTGGAATCCGACTCGACGAAAAGGACTTTGTCCGAAATTGCAGTCATCTTGGGATGGCCCGTACACAGTCCTAAACAGGCTGAATGACGTCGTGGTTCGGATTCGTAAGTCTTCGAACTCTAAACCTAAAGTCGTTCAATACGACAGGTTAGCTAATTACTATGGCTATAATACGTAATGTAAATAATTGTAAATAATGTGAGACCATGATCCTTTTTTTTTCTAAATAATTATTTGATTTGATTTGTATTTAGTATTTGATGTGATTTGTATTTTGTATTTGATTTGATTTGTATTTAGTATTTGATTTGTTTATTTGACTTGTATTTAGCCTTTGATTTGTTTAAGTTAGTTATTGCATTTAGTGTTTATGTTGTTTATTGTATTTATGCCACAGTTGTAAGTTTGGCTTCCGGTCCAGGGATTGTACTGCCCGGGACGTGCAGTCCTTGGGAAGGGGGCAGTGTTACAGATTTGGTATTTAAATAGCTAATGTTAGTTAAATTGTAAATTAAATGGTTTTATTTCCCCGCGGAGTGCAGCGCGTGACGAATATTGAAAGAAAGCTAAGCCGGAAAATTGAAAATACAAGAGCGCGTGCATGTAACATTTAATAAATATCTCTTTTTGATTTCGAGAAAGTACTAGAAAATTCTCGCTCGAGATTTTAAAATCTTATAGGAGGGAAACCTCTCAATTCGAGAGTTAGTTAGTTCGTTGTTGTTTTAAGAGTTTGTTTAGAAAACTGCTCTTGTTGATTGTAGCGAATTCGTGGATTAGCTTTCTTTAGCTTTTTTGAATTAAGTTCTCTTGAACGTTTGAGTAGTTAGAAGATACTACTGTGATATATTGTGATACTGCACGATTAATCGTATTTGTTGTGATAATAATAAATTTTCTTCTTTTTTCATGGGACTTATGCATTCATTTCGTAACGAACCCGTACGCACGCAACAATATGATATTTTTTTATTAATAAAATGTAAGTTGAATAGAAGGTTTACTTTTTCTTAAAATTTTACATTATCTCCATTCACATGCAAGGATTCTGCTAGGCATTTTGCTGCTCAGTGCAATTTTTGTGAATATAAAATTGTGCTGCCTAAAAGGGCTTTCTAAATTCTAAAAAAAATGCCACCTGTATGTTCTGCTGCCCAGAGCCTCCCTTAAATTCTAAAAATTTTGCTATCTCTAAATTTTGCCATTGAATACTTCTATAAAATTCCAAAAATTTTGCTACCCTTAAATTGTGCCACCCAGCATGACCACACCGGTTACACCAGTTCTGGCGATAGCCCTGTTCATATATGATTTTTGTGATGATTAGAATTCTGAATAAAATAATTGATGCGAGATTAATGTAGTCATCTGTTTTTAACTTTAATTGAACTTCCTCAAGTCGGGATAAAAAGAATTTAATATAATAAATAAGTTTTTGAAGCACATCATTGAAATTTTGGAATTATAAAATATATATAAGTAAATATTTTTAAAATATTCCAGAAAAAATTATGTTTTAAAAATCGATTGAACCAAGATATGCTATAAATTTCCCAAGAAATCAAAGTTCATAACTCAAGAGAGGATTCGTTATCTGAGGCCTTTTTTTGTTCAGATAATTCGTTCATGAAGCAAATTGTTTATGAAAATAGGCATTTGTGATTCAAGGTTCCACTGTACATACTGTATTCCTTCGTCTTACATTTTTAAATCATTAAAACTGGCATAAAACCATTCCTTTAAATGAATTTTAAATATCTTGCATTCCACTTTTCATTTTTCTTGACTTTTTATTATTCAATCTTAAAATTGGAAGCTGGGAATGAGAAATGATTTCAGGCCAGAGAAAGAATCTTGAATCATTTTTAAATCTGCTTGTGTAGAAAATAATTTATGAATTAATTTTTATTATGAATATGAATTAGCATCATCTAAATTATTATATTTGTAGATTGTATGCATGTAGGTTATGTGAAAATAAAAAGTATGTAATGAATTATAAAACAACTGTTATTTAAAATTTAAGTTCAAAATATTATGAATAATTCATAGTAATTTTTTCCGAAAAGGAATTTGTTTATAGATGCTTAGTTATTTCAAAATATTTTAAGTATTTAATAGCATTTATTTTATTTATTTTTTTTTTTTTCAAAAATTAATTTCTTTTATCTAATAGGTTATTGGTTTCAATAATATTAGTGAAGCTATACAGAAACTGGATTTCAGGAATGCTGTTCATGATATTAGAAGATTTAATTACATATGTAAAGTAAGTCATCAAATTTACATATTAACACTGCAGTGAACTTTTATGTCATTGAAAATATTTTAATAAAGTTATGTTTATAATTTAATAATTTCTACATTTCTTTTAAATTCTAACTTTGATTAATTATTTTTCAATTTTTTTATAATGAGTTTTATAATATTTAACTACTAAAATAGTGCACGTTATATATTTTAAAAATTATTAGAAAGGCTTAAGAAACCTAACTCATAAATCATGTGAAACTGAAACATTAAAGTGAAAACCATTTTGTAATGTAAAGCAATATTTTAGCTATTGAAAAATTTTTACAATAATTTTATATCTATAAATCTCTCTGATTATTCAGATTATTACTCCTTGAGAAGTCGATTTGGAATACAAAATTTTAATATCATCAATTAGTTCACTTTCAATAAATTTTAAAAAGTTTAAAAATTTGCATGGGATTAAAACTTGTGCTTCATGTTTTTAAAATTTGATAGGTTCTTTTTAATATAATTTTAGAATTTTCCTAGGATGGTTTTAATCTACTTCTACTATTAAATTAAATGTTTGATATATTAGCAATAGCCTCTTAATTCCTTCCTCTTTTCTTAATTTAAGTTTTTGATATATATATATAATTAATAAGGGATGGCTAAACTTCAAGACGGTGGGAGCCGCATTATAGGTTTTATGAACGTTGAAGAGCCGCAAGTCCAAATTTATAATATAATGAGACAGGTTTTAAATATAAAGAAACTTTTGAAGTAAATTAATGAGTATGTGATTAGCATGATTACATTATAAATATGAATAAATATGCCTTATATCCACTGTTTTGTGTTCAGAAAGTCAAGCCCCAAGAAAATAAAAATCTGTAACTCTTGTGCTGGGCAATTGAACGTTTTTTCTTCAGCTAGAGAAACCAAATATTCTCTTCCGATTTCCTTTATACCTCTCTGTTTATAATTATTGTTGCTTTATTTTATTAGAAGTAAAATGAATCGGATGTATATTAATTGATCTACAGTGACATAAAAGCTGTTATTTAAATAAATTACAAATCATTATTTAAGAAAATTGAGGGTTTATTTTATTTTATTTTATTTTATTTTTAACTCGTGAGCAGTTTTTTAGAAAGGATATGTTGTTACATGTCAACGTGCATTGCAGAGAAACTGTTATTCGAGAAAAAATATTTATTTAAAAATAAGCTATTAACTTATTTAGGCTTTTGCTTAAAAAGTAATTTTGTTTCTCCACACAATTAGCATAAGGACCAACATAATAAAATCTTTCGAATCTTTGGATCCTAACCTAAGAAACCGTTAAAACACTTTCCCCAAGACTTTTGAATGACTATTTTTACTGATGCCCAGTATAGAAGAATTCACCCCAAAAAATATGATTGCAATTTCAGTGGTATTTGAATAGTCAGTGTCTGTCATGATAGCCCTGCCCAGTGGCGTAGCTAGGGTGGGGCAAGGGGGACATCTGTTCCCCGGTGCAGCATCCAGGCGGCCCCCAGTTGATGCTATGAAATTTTTTAATGAAGTGTTTTCCATTCTTGGCAGACAGAAGAGGGTGCAAATTCTTCAGTTATCCCCGGGCGCTGGAATCCTAGCTACGCCACTGGCCCTGCCTGATACAGTATTTCAGCATGGCAACCAATGAAATCTGCCAGAATTTTTTAGTAATCAGTAAGCTGCTCATCACAGAAAATTCTTGAAACTATCTCTCGAATCATCCCAATAATTTTGAACATAGATAACGAAGTTCATACGCATCGCTGAAAATTCTTGAAACTATCTCTCGAATTGTCCTGATAATTTTAGGCATAGATAACGAAGTTCATGGGCATCATTTAAAATTCTCAAAACCACCTCTTGAATCCTTATGATAATTCTGGATATACATAACCTATTTTAATAAATCTAGTAGTTCATGCCGGGCTAATGCAGATATAGCATGAACGCATAACTTTTCATATTTCTCTGGCCATGCATAGATGTTCGTGGAGGTCTTTTGCAACACGGGAGGCGTTCTGCACAATAGTTTAGTTCCTAAGCACTTGCCAAATAGGTATATGGATCCACAATATTCTAACAGTTGGATCCATAAAGGAAGCCAAATGACTTACCATCTCGTCTTGAATTCTGAGTAAATTAATTCAGAAGAAGGTTTAAAATAAATCATTGTCAGCCTAAAGGCTGACAAGATAGTACAACTTTTCATTGGGTTACCTAACTTGCGTACAGAAAATAAATCTGAAATGGAGTTTGTAGGCATAGAATACTTTAGAAAATAAAAGATAGGACTTTAAAAATAAGCGTTTACGCGAGCAAATTTCGCATTATTGCCTGAAATTTGTAGTGATCAATCAGTGGCTCATTGTGCAACTTTTCATTTGACTACTAAGCTTTCATGAAGGACATGTCAGACGTACATGATGATCGAAAATTAAGAAGACAAACAATATCTTCAGATTAAAAGAGGTGTAATACGGGCATCAGAGCCAGTGCAACCGGTGCAACTGCAGAGCGGCAGTACTAAGATATGAAAAATTTTAGATACACTGAGCAACAAAATGACTCTAATCTAGTGCAACATTTACTGGCGGCTGTAATTTAGTACCTCTAACCTGTTATTGTTGATACTTATGCAACTTGTCTTGATAGCAACATTAGCTCAAACCCACAAAATCCCTCTTGGCAAGGAGCGCTCAAGATAAGCTTGTCGTTAGCAGCAGTCTTGAGCACTTTACAGGTGACAGTGCGATTCTGCCTCTAACCTAATGCAGCAAAATGCCTCAGACCTAGTGTGAGGTAGAAGGAAAGAAGATCGTCAAACAAGAAATCGAAAAATATGAGAAAATATCACAAGCTAAAGAGATTTCACAAATGTAAATATGCCGATTTTGACAGAAACTTTGGAGAAGACAAATGTTTATGTTCTGTTGATCCCTCATTGTATGATGCAACGTTATTGATGTAAAGATATAATGATTAAGGTAAAAGATTCTATCTGGAATAATAATATTTGATAAAAATGGGAATTAAAATATTGACTAAAATTTAAATCGTTGTAAAACCAGCAATTCTTCCTATGACTCCAAATATTTCAGCATGCACAACCACTGGTGAAATAAATTATGATCTCTACCTAGAATTACCAAGGAATTATTATGAAACATAGAGTTTAATGTGGAAAAGTGTTCTTTAAGCATAGTATTGTGAATGGTTGCAAAATCTGTGAAGCAGTTGCATAAAAATGCTTGAAATGCTTAGGGACAGGAAATTAATATTGAAGGAATTCCGCTGAAACTTTTGACAAGTCTCCTAACCAAGAAAAAGGCTGAAAGTTCACTCCACCAAAAATAAAATTCTCGTAAAATTCTTCCTCAGATTAAAAGAGCTTTCTCTCTCAACTGACAACACTTTACTCCTAGACTAATGTATAAGAAGTGGGTTTTGCAGTAGACGGATGGTGCCACCTATCTTGGCTGTATTTTTGGCAAGCGCTTAAGCTGGAGAAAGCATGCAGAGCATGTAGTTGTTAAGGCGGAGCGTAGGTTACCTATCCTTAAACGCTTAGCAGGTATTAAGCGGTAATGGGGTTGTGGTAGAGAGGCTCTCAACTCGAAGTATAAAATGTATATTCGACCAATACTAAACTATTGCTGTGAGATATTGATCTCGGCTACACGAGATGTGATGCAACGTCTGGCGGTATTGCAAAATCAGGCATTGCGCATTATAAGCGGAGCTGTTAAAACGACTAACATTCTGGCAATGCAGTTGGTATCAGCAAACCAACCTATGACAAACCTGATTCAGAAAAATGCGTTCATTATTTTCCAGAGACTTTTACGAGAATACGAAAAAATATCACAAGTAACCCTCATTGGAGGGTTTCGACTACTAAGTAATCCTCATTGGAGGAATTATAATTATAATAAACAACAAAATCTGAAGCCACAAAATGGCTTTCTGTAGTGTGTCTCTCGCCTAGAATAAATACAATCATATAAGAACACTGAAACCAGTACTGCTGGTTTTGCTAAATCCTTTGTATTATAGCTTCCTTGATATGCGGTTGGACCTGGAAATGAAAGTAGATAAGAAGAAAATGAGTCCAGAGTAAATAAGAGCTATAGCTTTGAAAACAATTGTGCAACATTTTCCGGCTAAGGAATGGATGCATACATGGATGGCTCTCTAACCGATAGGATCCAGGGGGCTGGAGCTGGAGTTTTTAGCAAGCTTTTCAGTTACTACATACCGGTAGGGACTTACTCCACGCACTTTGATGGAGAACTGAAAGCCATTCATGTGGCTCTCCAACAATTATCATTGAGACAGAGCTCGTTCAGGAGGGCTGCTGTACTGTCTGATTCGACTTCAGCAATACAGGCCATCTCCTCTTACCAAGAGTTTAAGAACATATGCGTTTAATAGTGTCAGGAGGTCATAAAAGAACTTTCCCACAAGATATCTTTTCAATGGGTACCTTCACACTGCGATATTTATGGGAATGAGATGGCTGATATGCTCGCGAAAAAGGGGGCTACAGTTCTCCAAAAGCCAAAAACGAGTGCAAGCCTCCATTCTATTAAGCATCTGACAACGCTAACATATCAAAAGACTTTTAGAGATTTTGCTACTCGGGCTTGTGAGGGCAAGCCTTGGAGTGTTTTCTGAACAAACCCAACTATTACTGACCATCAGCGACCAGTTGCGGTTGCATCTTTTAGACTATTGACGGGTCATGACTGTACACAGAATCATTTATTTCACATAGGATTAGCTGATTTGCCGTTGTGTGTTTTATGTAATAGTGGATGGCCAATGACGGTGGAACATTTGGACGAGTGTGAAGTACTGACAAATATTTCTTGTATATATCAGCGCTATTGGCAAGCAAAGAGTTTAGTGGCCTAACGGCCAATGTAACTGGCATTTGACAAATAAAACTAAAAGAGCTCTATATGGATTGCAAGGTAAAGCACATTTCTTCAG